TTGGTGTTCTTTTTACATTTCTGGAGGTTATATGCCTCGGGAACACCTCCCTTGGCAATGTGTTCGGAGCCTCGCTGTTCGTTGAATGCACGAGTCCTTGGAAAGAGATGTTCTGCAGGTCTCCAAAGTGACTACGAAGGGGTGCGAAGCCTCAACTCGACGGGTTAATCTCGCGGGGACTGCCAAGAGAGGAACAATTGTTGATATTTCAGGCGAGCATCGTCCATGAAAATATCTATAAAATAGAGCCATATCGACAACTTTTTTAGAGAAGTTAGTGAGTTTGTGAGCGAGGCATGCCCCACGAGACGAATTGCCCTTTTTTGGACAGAATCCAACAGTTTCGAACTGAATCAATAAACCCTCGGATGGATTCAGGAAATGGGTTTACCCGGGTATGTTTGGGTGCTGCACTCCAAATATGGGAACAGTATTTCAGGACATGTCGGATTTGTGCCTTATAGATCATGAGCAACTGACTAAGTGAAATAGCTCCTGGTCCGAAACAGAAAACCAAGTTTTTGGGATGCACTTTTAGCAATTGATCTCACGTGATTTTACCAAGAAAGGTTATTGCTGATAGTAATACCTAGCATCGAAATTGATGTCTTCAATGTTGGGCACAGTGAGATCGGATTTTCTAGAGAAGAGGTATGCTTGTGTTTTGTTTGCATTGAAATCTACCAAGTTATTGGATCCCCATTCGAGAATTGTTGCCAAGCCCATATTCATTTTCACCGATAGTGTGTACACTTGCGAGTGGCCGAGTCGGCGAAATCGGCGTAGCAAGAAGCTAGAAATGTAGAAAATTAAGAACATAAAATGAAAAGAAAAATATATAGATCGTTTCACCAATTAAAAGTGGAAGAAGAAAAAAAAAAGATGAAGAATTCTAATGGTTATGTTATTTTTCACTTTTGCGGGTATTCTGTATATAATTGATGATGGAAATAAAAATGAGCACCAGCACGTTACAAAGCATGTAATACTTATTACCTACCGCAAATACAGCAGAGTTCATTCTATTTTTGAAAAATTCTGAGTGTCCTGGATACCTCTACGTGTACAGGGCTAGTTTTATTAATGTGAACCCCTCTTCATCTTTTTTTGTTTTCCACCATCAAAAAAATGTTGAAACTGATTTTATACAATTATTTTTCATACAGAATCCAATCATTGTGACATACAGCATAAAACACACCACTTTGTTATTTAGGAAGTAGCACATGTCACCATAGTGATGCAAAAGTTCGAAAGTGATTCTCAGGTGTGTTGAAATATTAAAAAAACTTAAGTTCACCACACAAGGTTTAGGAAGGTATATGATGTACTTACTTGGTGAATGATCACAATAGGTATTTATTATACGTCCATTCTTGATCAGGTTCATGTTTCTATGTCATTCATAATAAATTAATAAATCATATATCGCGAGACATAACCTCGTTGCTGTCTACAACAGCGCTTGGGTCATCATTCGGGTAAGCTTGTAACTGCTAATGTTAATGTTAAGTTATTGTTGAATTAATGTATAGCTAATGGTAGGTTAATGTTAAAGTAATGTTAAAGTAAGTTTAGTTATGGTCAAGTTAATGGAAAGTTGGTGTCGATTTAACATGAGTTATTGTCGTTAATGTTGACGTAATGTTAAGGTGATGAAAAGTTGAAATCAAGTTAATTTCAATTGAAAGTTGAATTAATGTCAATGTATTGGCAATTTAGTGTTTAATGTGAAGTTAATGTCAATTTGATATTGAGTTAATGTTAATTTGATTTTAAGGTGATGTTTAGTTCATTTTGAGTTAATGTTGATTTAATGTTGAGTTAATGTTAAGTTGATGTTGAATTAATGTTAAGAAACTGTTAAGTTGATATTGAGTGAATGTTGAGTTGATGTTAAGTCAATGTTGGGTTAATTTCAAGTTAATGTTAAGTTGCTGTTGAATTAATGTTAGGTTAATTTCAAGGTAATGTTAAGTTCCTATTAAATTTATGTTAAGTTGATGTTAAGTGAATGTTGAGTTGATGTTAAGTTACTGTTGAGTTAATGTTAAGTTCATGTTAAGTCAATGTTGAGTTAATGTTGAATCACCGTCATGTGATCGAATATATTCTGATTGGCATTCGCTTGCCGGTCGTGGGTTCAATTCCCATCGACTGCAGAAATTTTTCTGATGGCCCAAGAAAGTGTTTGGGATCACACGTTAAAAAGTAAGGCCCCCGTGATTCCTTGCTCGCACAAGACTTTCGAAGACTTCTGAGGGTTGCTCGTAAGGGGGCAACCGAATGACGGATAGAACAATTTTAGAACAATTTAGAACAATATTATTAGAAACATGATCCCTACTCTGGTTATATAAACACTCGATGACATATAATATAAATATTTGTGGTCGTAGGAAAAATAGTGTACAAAACTTGTTGGAAAGTGCATTTCCTGCGCTTGTTTCGTTTCCGCACTCGCCGCTCTGCGGCTCGTGCTAAACGTCCACTCGCGCGAAATATGTCCTTTCCACACTAGTTATGTAATGTACTATTCTTCATTGGAATTCTATTACCTAGAAGAGTTTCTCAATAACGGTGGACTGTCGATAGTTTATCGATAGTCGACATGTCCGCTCTCGATAATTTCGATAGTCAATTTTTGTCAACTATCACCACCTCTAGCGCTACATAAAAACCTCCCTCAGTAATAGACTGTTGGCCCGCGACACAGGGTTTATCGATGTTTTAAGTCGGTATGCCATTTAAGGGACCCACCCAAGTTAACAGGAAGAAGTGCCTCGGACAGTCGCATCCCAGTCCTTTCCCCAGCCCTGACCTCACCTTTCGGTTGGAAAAAAGTTCAAAATTTTGTTTGAGAAGAAGCTCGGCAATGAAGTGCAATGATCTTATCTCACGAAAATTGGGGCGCTTGCCGGTTTGCATACGCCTAGGTCTCCTCAAGGGCGGCATACGAACCGGAAGTGACAATTTTTCAGTGTTATAGTCGATGATCTAAGAATGTGTGTCCTTTGGCGGAACAATGAATTGGGACCCATCAATCAATATTCCGACATTTGCATACGATTCCGGAGAAGGGAGCTCGACTTATTCGAACATCATTTGACTGGATATCCTTCAAATAATCGATAATCGAAGAAATGTTCAAATTTCGACCATGGTAAGTGGACCACACAGTATATATGAGATGATGGTTTGCATACAATTTGTACATTCCGTACAGGGTGGTTCACCATGAATATCTCCCATTGTAACTTAGTTGTTTCTGAACCGATTTTAAAATTTCAAAAACCAATTAAAATGATTTTCCTAAGTGATTTTTCATTGTTACTAGAGAAATCACAGGCTGTTCATAACAAATGAACTATAGGGTAGTTATTGATTTTTTTTACTGGAACACTATATTTCATTACACTATCGAGTTGAGATTATCATGACGAATACGCAGCACTCTTATAGCGATCATGCGCCAAATTGTCAAATTGTGCCAGAAATATGAATCCTGGGTTTGATTTTTTTTTTTTGCTGAAACAACGGTGGGTACGATTTCAATTGGTACCTTGGTGAAGCCCATCCAGCATTGGTTGGTGACATAATAATCTCTGAGACTTCAACTGATCATTATCAGGTATATCTTTCGATCATGCCAAGATTTTTCAATAATTATATCCGTTCAAAATAACATTCTTACTAACAGGTAATGATGACAACTCTGAAGATTCATCTTCAGACAGCGAGAGCGAAGATGACTCTGAAGATAATGATAGAGAGGATGGCGTATAATTTCTCCTTTGAAAAATATAATGTTGTTTTCATTCAATATAATTTCATTTTCGAATAATTTTTTTTATGTGAAAAACAAAAATGTAGATTAAAGTTCAGGATACAGACCCCACATTGTACCCAAATCATTCAACGAATTGAATCTACATTCTTTATATATTTTTTTGGCGCCAGTGTTATGATAAGCAGTCCCATAAGCCCCAGGGAAGAATTTCAATTCGATTTATTGTGAGTTTCGATCATGAGCAATAATCCACCCCTCTTCTCCCTGTACGATTTTTCTTGATCATCCTGCGAGTATTTTGTCGTCATTTTTTTCATCATCTGTTCAAAGCCCCGTTTTCCAAATTAAAATCATAACAAAAAATTTCTTGGTACTAAACCTCTCACACATTTAATTTTGTTGAGCTGTAATTTTCTGATGAATAAATACAAATATATCTGCAATTTGCGTCTTCGAATACCCCCATCACTCCAAGGAAGTTAATCTTTGATCCGGTTTCATGTGAAGTGAGATTATGAGACTTCCAGATTATCTAGTTCGCTTTAGGTGCACCTCTGGCTTGCAGTGCGGGTCGCCGCGCCGGATCGAGGCACGCGCGAAATTTCCCCGATTATTACACCGTATGCTCACATTGAATTCGTATGCAAATAGCATCCAGTAATACAGAATATCCTAGTTCATCGGTCCTCTCCGGAATCGTATGCAAATGTCGGGAAACTGATTAATGTTTCCGAATTCATTGTTTCGCCAAAGGGCATACATTCTTAGATTATCGACTATAACACTGAAAAATTGCCACTTCCAGTTCGTATGCCGCCCTTGGGGAGTGGCCTAGGCGTATGCAAACTGGCAAGCGCCCCAACTTTCGTAAGATAAGATCATTGCACTTCATTGTCGAGCTTCTTCTTGAACAAAATTTTGAACTTTATTCCAACCGAAAGGTGAGGACAGGGACGGGGCAAGGACTGGGTTGCGTCTCTCCGAGGCACTCCTTCCTGTCAACTTGGACTAAGTGATTGGGTCCCTCAAATGGCACACCGACTTAGGACATCGATAAACCCTGTGTCGCGGGCCAACAGTCTATAACAAAATAGCAGGGCAATAAAACACCGAGGTATGACGGCACAACAAAACGGATATTCGAAATGAATACAGGTCGGGGCAGATATATTCATAAAAAAATATATGAAAATATATGATCTAACCTCACCTGTATCTGTATGTTTCTGCATGAGAGCGTGCAATATCGCCTTGAGCAAGGCCTCATAGACACTCTTGGCATGTCTGTCCTCGGTACATCCGTCATATTTCTCTACGCACAATTGTAGCAATTCGAATAGTTTCAACTTCACAGAACTGTCGGTATCGGAGTTGACGATTTTGATGCTCAAAGTGTAAATGGAGAGGATGTCCCGTTCTGGTACTTTGGCGGGAAAATTGTTGATAGTGGTGAACAATATTTCGACGGCCTTCGCAGAGGCTTTCTTGAACGGTTTGTTTTTCACTGAGGTCTCGATGAATTGTAAGAGACCATCCGATGTGTGGAAGATGTATATCAAATAAACGTCTAGAAAGAGATAAAGTGAATTGATAAAACATTCATTAAACATTATGTTTAAAAAAATTATATACATTCACTACACACTCAGACATTCATCATTATAATACCAGATGTGGTATGGTTAACAATGGCTATTTCCCAGATATTATACAGTTCTCAACACACTAAATGGACCACTCATAATTCGACTCTTTTTCGAAGACCTGTATTATTTTAAAAAATTGACCGATATTTCATCGGCTTCAAAGAGAGCTGGAACATTTTGAAAAAGTCCGCAGAACAAAACTTACACAGGGTATAAATAAAGTGGAACCATTATACTATGGTCTACATTTCCAATGCTGCCAGAACTCGAGAAATTTTTTTCTGATCAAAAGTCAGTCATATTATAATACACTGGCACCTTATCTCGGAACATTTTCGTGATTTCTCCTTAATTGGCCATTGGAACAAAATTGAGATTTTTTTTCGAAAGTCTCGCATTTCTTGATTTTTTTCTCTAGAACTCCAATTGAAGTGAATATTGGGAAAAACTGTTCTCATGTTTTGTGGAGGACAATGAGAGGCAGAAAAAGCACTATTGTGGAATATACAGGGTGATAAGAAGAAAGGACAAAATCTCATTTCGGTTAAAAAAAATAAAATCCAGTATATTCAGAAACGGCCTTCTCGATATCCATTATTTATATTAGACTATTAACTCTAGACGTTTCCGAAAATTCACCTCTAATTGAAATACAGGATGGAAATTCTCAACTGAAACTTGTTTTCTGATATCGATGATACTCATCAACTGATTTCCAATATTCATTGCCCAAGTTTGAGACACAGAGTACTGTTGTTCAATATACTGAGTGATCCACAACCTATCTGACAAATCACGAACTGGATTGAAAAACAATAATGTTAGAAGAATGTGGTGGCCAACATTATCTCCAGATCTGAATCCGATTGAAGATGGTGTGGAGCGAATGAAACTCATCCTATCGAGAAGGCGAGAGGCACCCCGAAATAATGACAATCTTATCCAAACTATATCAGAAGAATGGGAGGAGGAAAATTCATCAACAACCTCATAGAATATATGTCAAACAGATTTCATGAGGTTTTGTTGAATCGGGGAGGCCCTACTAAGTACTGAAATTAAGGATATAGGACTTTTTAGTTGGATTTACATAATGCTGAAGAATTCACTAATGTCATATTTCGCCAATAGAGCCCATTTCGAATAGTTCTAGTGGATATGAAGTGTTATGAATTTTATTTTCCATCTCGTTTTACTCCTATAAAATTTTTATGTGATCGACTTCTTATGTAATTTTGTGGTTGTGGTTGAAATTTGTGAAACACTCAGTATATTGAACAACAATACTCTGTGTCTCATACTTGGGCAATAAATATTGGAAATCAGTTCATCCTGTATTTCAATTAGAGGTGAATTTTCGAAAACATCTCGAGTTAATAGTCTAATATAAATAATCGATATCGAGAAGACCGTTTCTGAATATACTGAATCAGATGGGCCACGGTTTTGGTCACCGTTTTTTATTTTTCCTACCGAAATGAGATTTTGTCCTTTTTTCTTATCACCCTGTATATTCCACAAAAGTGCTTTTTCCGTCTCTCATTGTCCTCCACAAAACATGAGAACAGTCTTTCCCAATATTCAGCTCAAGTGGAGTTCTAGAGAAAAAATTCAAGAAATGCAAGACTTTCGAAAAAAAATCTCATTTTTGTTCCAATGGCCAATTAAGGAGAAATCACGAAAAACGTCCCGAGATGAGGTCCCGGTGTATCATAATATGACTGACTTTTGATCAGGAAAAATTTCTCGAGTTCTGGCAGCATTGGAAATGTAGACCATAGTGTAATGGTTCCACTTTACACCCTGTGTATGTTTTGTTCTGCGGACTTTTCCAGAGTGTTCTAGCTTTCTTTAAAGCCGATGAAATATCACATCTGATATCGTAAACCGCATGAAGATCGGTCAATCTTTTAAAAAAATAAAGGTGTTCGAAAAAGAGTCAAATTATGAGTGGTCCATTTAGTGTGTTGAGAACTGATGTATTTTGAATATCTCGAGTATCACCAATTTATAAACAAGTAGAAATAAATTCACCAGCTAATTATAGACCTATCACTATTATTAAATATCTGGGGGTAATAGTTGACAGTAAAATGAGGTTCGATAAACACATTGATTATACTTGTGGTAAAATTGCTAAAAAAATTGGTGTTTTGTCTATAGAGTAAGTAAATATTTGACATTGTATTCTAGGAAGTTGATTTATGACACAATTATTCTACCACATTTTAATTATTGCCCCACAATTGTATACATGGCAAATCTAAGTGAAATAGAGAGACTACAGAAATTGCAAAATAGAGTCATGAGAGTTACATTGCGATGTGATTATAGAACTTCCGCTCAATCTATGTTATGTACCCTGAACTGGTTGGATGTTAAATCATTCATAAAGTACAATGTTATGGTATTTATCCACAAGATCAACATAGACACATGTCCTCAATATCTGAAAAATATATTAGTAAAATTCAGAACTGTTCATGATTATGATACTAGAGGAAAAGAAAATGTTGTTGTAAAACAGGCAAAGAAAACACAGACGCAGCGTTCAGTATTCTATAAAGGTGTTGTGGAATATAACAAATTAGGAATTGAATTGAAAAAGAGACCTAAATATATTTAAGAAAAGTGTCAAAGATTCCATCCGTAGTGAACATATGAATGTACTGTAATATAAAATTATTGTGTAGTTTATATATATTGTGTTGGAATGTATAGCAAAAAGGCTAAAATAAATTACTACTACTACTACTATTATACCTCTAAAAGGCAAGATTTTTGAAATTGTCCTAAAGATATAGGACTCATAACTTTCTTTAAGAAAACAATCTGTTTTGTGACTCGGTTACAGAACTGGAAAGTCCACTATTGATGCAGTTCGTGCGCTCTGTGACATCATATTAGATGGTTTTGATGATCAACTGAACAGCTTTGCTAGATTTTATGACTTGACGAGAGCATTTGACACAGTTCGCCATGATTATTTACTATCAAAACTTAAAAGATACGGCATAAGAGAAACTCCATTAGATCTCATCTCTTCATATCTAGAAAATAGACTCATTATGTTGAGCATGAGAACCACACATCTGATGCTCATGCTGTGCCGTATGGGGTCCCTCAGGAATCCGTACTTGGACCCCTGTTTTTCATCATTTATTTCAATGATCTGGCTATCAATCTTGGTCAAATTGTAAAACCAATTTTCTACGCTGATGATACAACTTATATAGCCACTAGCAAGACTAGTCAAGAATCACTTATTAATCTAGAACAGTCTGAGTCAATGTGTGTCAATATCCACAGAATGGTTCTGCACAAACTGTCTGACTCTCAATGAAACAAAAACTCGAGATATATTCTTTTCTACTACAAACAGTGATCACAGCGAACCTGTCACACTCAAGATCTATGCAAGCGCTTAGCAAGAGCAACGTTTGGAATATAATAATAATAATAATAATAATATTTATTTGCATTGAACAAAAAAACATTTTCACTGCAACTTTAAATACAATGATGCTAAATGGAGCTGAAAACAATTTGGAAAAGTTCTAGTTCAGCCCCAGAGTAAGAAAAACAATTATAATCTGAACTGTTCGTCAAGTTGATAACGGATTAAAAGATAAAAAAAGCACTGCTTTGATGCTCGTGAGAAGAGTTATATATATGTAGCTAAAAGAATTTCTCTGACTTTCTTTTTGAATGTCAATGACTTCATTTGCTTGAGTGGAGGTTGTAATTCATTAAACATTTTGTAAATATTGTAAGAGAAGCTTCTTTGAAATAAGGTGGTTCTATAAGGTGGAAAAGTGATGCGACCCCTATGCCGTGAATTCAGATTGTGAACATCAGTTCTATATGTTATTTTATCATACAGATATGGAGGACTCTGTTTATGAATTATGGAGTGTGACAGAACTAGGAAGTAAAGTTTCCGCCGATCTTGCATTTTCAACCACTTCGAGGGTTTCAACATGTGCGATACTGGATCATACTTGCGGATGCCATAGATGAATCTGAGACAGGATTTCTGTACTTTCTCCACACGATTCATGTCACTTTTGTCCAGACAAGGTTCATATAATACATCGCAAAAGTTGAAATAACCAGCGTATCACTTAACATCCTTTTGGTTGTAGTTGATAGCAAGTGTCTATGAGGATAGAGCATTTTCAGGGAACAATATGCTTTTTGAATACAATAACTAATATGCTTTTTGAAACGAAGATCTACATCCAGATACAAACCCAAATTTTTTACATTTTCAACAAAGGACAATTCTTCACCTTGAACTTGTATTTTCATAACAGATTCGATGTATTGTTTTTTTTTTACAAAAAATCATGACATTTGATTTCATTGCATTGATTTTTAAGGAATGCAGTGTCGATAGCTGTACTAGCCGATCCAGGTCTTCTATTATTGCCTGTTGCGCCAATAGCCAATCATCAGGAAAAAATGAGTGATATAGCTGTGTGTCATCAGCATAAAAGTGAGATTTACAAGTCTTTATACTCGATAAAAAGTTATTAGTGTATATACTGAACAACAATGGGCCTAGTATAGATCCCTGGGGAACACCACAAGTCACATTTTCCCTCCCAGACTGTCCGACAGTTGTTTCCACTCAGTACCTCACTTTTTTTGGGCAACGCAATTATTCTTGATACTTTCCATACATCGGGAAATATATTTTCTAGCACACAAGTGTTTACAATATTTGTCAAAACAGGTAGAATTGTCGGACAACAAAGTAATATCATTTCTAAATTAATTAAGTCAGGACCTGAAGCTAATGACTTCACTTCTGATAAAGATTCATGAACTTCTTCCATGGTGACAGTTTTGAATTCGAAGAGTTCCTCAAAAAGACATTTCTTATTCTGATTATAGTAATTCAATAGGTTTTGATCAG